CCCCCCCCCCCCCCCCCCCCCGCGCCCACTCACTTCTTGAACATCCTGGGGCGACGGGGCGCCGCTCCCCGCGAAGCCGGGCGGAGCGAGAGGGGGGCTGGGGCGGGTGGGGGCGGGGGGTCCTCCCGCGTCGTCCCTCCTCGCGCGCTTCCACGCAAGGCCTCTCCGGCCCTTCCTTCTCGTCTGCCCGCCTCGCCGGAAAGGAAACGGCGCGGATTGGGGAAACGCGGGGGGGAAGGGAGGACGGCGGGACGCGCTTTACGGCAGCCCGGTCGCAAAAACCGCTGGCGCCGAGCGAAAGGGAAAAGGGCAGCGCCCCAGTTCTCCCGAAAGACGCACGAGAGGCTCCCGCGGGTGGTGGTGGAGGGACTCGAAACTACCGCTCCCGGCAGGCTGAGCGCGCGAGACGGGGGACGGAGCAGGCGCGTTGAGCCCGAGCGGCCGTTACTATGGAGACGCATCCGAGTCGGGCCTAAGGAGGCCTTGGTTCTACTTTTTAAAGGGGCCGCTGCGGGAGAAATAGACAGACAGACAGACATAGAGATTTATAAATACAGGTATAAACATATGTTTATATTTATATTTAATATTTATATAGATGGATGGATGGGCGGGTGGGTAGATGGATAGGTAGATAGGTATAGAGATAGAGATAGATACTTATAGTTAGATATGTAGGTAGGTAGGTAATGTAGGGAAGGAAGGAGGGAGAGAGAGAGAGAGAGAGAGAGAGAGAGAGACTTTAAATATCTCCGACATGCCTTCATGATCAGGTCCCATTATTCCTTTTAAAAGGGGCGTAAAATGTAAAGTGCATCCAATGGAATCTAAGCCCAACTGCAGCTTTTATCACTGGTGTTCCTCGACCTTGGCATCTCCTTGAAATTTATTTATGTATTCTTTCAGTGATCTTAGCAGCTGCAAGATTTGTGGACTTCAAGTCTCAGAATTCCCACCCCCCAGTGTGTTTATTTGGGGAACTTTGATTAAACCGTGGCTTAATGCACTGCGATTTAGTTGATATGGATGGCACTGAGTAGCAATAGTTCCTATATACCACTTCATGGTGCTTTTACAACCCTCTCTAAGCGGTTTAGAGTCAGCCACTTGCCCCCAACAATCTGGGTCCTCATTTTACCAACCTCGGAAAGATGGAAGGTTAAGAGGCAACCTCAAGCCTGGTGAAATTCTAGTTGCTATTTGCCACAATAGATGCTGTTTTAGGATCTCTTTTCTGAGCACATAGTCTCTTGAGACTGAAGAATGCCAATTCGAAATGTAATATAATTCCTTTTTAAACTGGGGAAATGTGTTAAGTGGTAGCAAAAACCTAGTCTGAAGTGAAGATTATCACTGTTACATGAGATCATTGTTTTTATTTCCATCTTAAGAAAAAGGTATTGCTAATGATACTTAAGTCAGTATTTATGAATAAAAAACATTTGAAGTTGAATCTGCAGTTTTTATTTTTAAAGTAAAGCTTTGGATACACGATTCCCAAAAAGTTCAAAACCAACACGGATGAAAATATACTAACTACCGGTAGTATATTTAAGAAAATAAAATTAGAAATAAATAAGGACTGAAATCAAAACAATCTTTTAATATATAACAAACATTAAATACACTGAGATTACATGACAAAGAAATTCATTCCAAGCTATTGGACCAGGGGTTAATATAATTAGTAGACATGACAGGCTCCAAGAGAAAATGTAGTTTTTATTGACATTACATATAAACTCTTCCAAGCCACTTTCTCACAAAAAATCAGAATAATATAAATGATTAACAAAACTTCAGTATACAGAATAAGTTGAAAAAAGCGAGCATTTTTTAAACTTATATCCCCATTTCTGTTCTAGTGAACATACAGAACACCAAGAAAAAGCCAGGTTAAATATTCACCTTATTAAAAAGATTAAAGGACAAAAAGTATCCTACAAGATCTTGAAACTGATGCTTGTAAGTGAAAACTGAAACCAGATTTTTTTTTACCTAAAACCAGATCAAGTAGTAGTCAAAAAGGCTACCCTTCAAGTACCCTAAAAAATTAGGTCATTCATATTAAACTGCCCTAAAAAAAAAAAAAATCAGGAAGTATCCACAGGTGCATTTTAGATGTGAATTTTAAACAAATCAGAATTATTCTCCTCCATCCCAGTTAATTCCTGGCATCAAGAAACCCACCTTTATTATTATTATTATCTCTTTTATTCATTAAACATGAAACTCAGAACTGAACATTTAAAAATGTATCGCAAATATAATTGACTAGCGCTGATGGTTGATATGGGTTGCTGTCAGCAACCTAGGTATCAACTAAGTATCTTATTAAAATGTACAATGTTCTGAGTAGCAAAGCTTTTTGCAGTTCCCCTGGTGTTATAGCAAGCAACAGCAATTTTTTGATGTATTTTGCAAAATTCTTGGACATGGTACCAAGTGCCCTGATGATGATGGGTATAACTGTTACATGCTTCATCCATGATCCATTATATTATTATTGACACAAAAAACAAGAGTGTACACAGCAAACGAGGTAACTATGCTGCGTTTCGTATCACAAATCACTAGTCGAACACTTCCCAAGCATTGAGGACTACGTGATGTATCAGCAGGTTATGCGAGCAGATCCCAGTAAGGTGGCCTTCTGCAACTGACAAATGGTGATTTTGTCAGCCCCAATTGTTTACAAGTGCTTGCCTAGGTCTTTAGGCACAGCACCCAGTGTGCCGAGTACCACTGGAACTACCTGCACTGCTTTATGCCAGAGTCTCTGCAGTTCAATTTTCAAGTCTTGATATCTGGTGATTTTCTCAAGTTGTTTCTCATCGTTTCTGCTGTCACCAGGTATGGAAATGTTGACGATCCACACTTTTTTCTTCTCCACAATCATGATATACAGGGTATTGTTCCAAAAATACTATCGTTTACACAAAAAACAACAGTGTACACAGCAAACAAGATAACTATGCTGGATTTTGAAAATCGAACTGCAGAGACTCTGGCATAAACCAGTGCAGGTGGTTCCAATGGTACTGGGCACACTCGGTGCTGTGCCTAGACTTAGGCAAGTACTTGACAACAATTGGCGCTGACAAGATCACCATTGGTCGCTGCAGGCCACCTTACTAGGATGTTTGCATAATCCGCCGATACATCACGCAGTGGGAAGTGTTCGACTAGTGATTTGTGATTTTAAAAAAATTGTTATTATCTTTTATTCATTAAACATGAAACTCAGTCAACTGAACATTTAAAAATGTATCACAAATATTAACTATTATGTTATTATTATTCCTGTTCTTCCAAATGGAGTTTAAGTTTCCAACAGGTAGAAATGGGGAAGCATCTAGTTGCAGCTCAAGGCCCGGCCACCGATTTCACCGCCCGCCCAGGGACGCCCTTGCGAGGCTGACTGATTACCACGCACCCACCCCTTCCTCCTCGCTTCCGAAAGGCAGAGCCAGGGCCAAGGCAGTCCGGCGTTCCCTGGAAGAGAAAGGCGAGCGCGACCCCAACGGGCCAAACCCACGAGAGCCTGGAGGCGGGGACCAAAGCCTTCCCCTCCCCGTTTCCTCAGTCCCTTCCCGGCTGGGAAAGAAAAGGACGGCGGACCCGCCTCTCTCCATCTTCGCCGGGCAGGAAGGGAAGGAAGGGGTAGTTGCTCTCCCACTCCGCTTCCGCTCTTCGTCACGTGGGAGGCACCCCCAGCTACGGAAACCAACGAGGCTCAATCCCGAAGGGGTTAGATTTCGCCCCCCTCCCTCCCGGCATCTGGATTACGCCGAGGGAAAGGAAGGCGAGGAAGCGCCGCTACGGGTGCCGGCGAGGCCTCGGGGGGGTCTCTGCCAGGCGAGGAGAGAACGCGGATGCCCCCGCCTCCTTTCGGCGTCCGAGAGCGGCCGTCGAAAAGAGGCGACCCCGTCGGCCCCGCGAGCGCGGCTCGGCGCGCCATGGCCGGCCGCTCGAGGAACCCGCCGCTTCAGCAGCCGCCCGGCGATACAATCACTTCCGGTAGGGCAGAGGGCAGAGGGGAAGTGGGTGCCAGGGAGCGGGGTGAGGCGGAGGGGGGGGGAGGGAAAGGAAACCCCGGGCGGACCTGAGGGGGTGTCGCGGGGACGGCGGGAAAAGGGGGCGGAAAACCGGTTCCGCGCGTCTCCCCGCCGGCTTCCACCCCTCCCGAGCGCGGCGGCGGCGTCTTTCAACCCCTGCCTGCCGCCAGTGGCGGCGGCGGCGGCGGCGCTACTTCCGGACGGCTCGCCTCCCGGCATGCCGCGCGGCCGGAAGTGCCGCCATCTTTAGGCCCCTTGCTTTGCTTCTTTTTTTTTTCTTCTCTTCCTTCCTTCCTTCCTTCCCTCCCCTTTTCCCTTCTTCCTAGCATTGACAATAACAAGCGGAGCTACTCGCCCGCCGGCCGCCCTCCTTCCCCCTCTTGCGGGCCGCGAAAGAGGCGGGGAAGGGGGAAGCGAAGCCCCGAACCCCCCCCCCCCCCGAAAGCGAGAGCCAAGAGGGGCGGCCTCAGGGCGGGAGAGCGAGAGAGAGACAGGACCCCCCTCTCTCCGCCTCCTCTGCCCGTCTGAGGAAAAAGGGGCAGAGTTAGCGGGGTAGGGAAAAGGAAGGGACCAGGCCCGTCGACAGAAGCCAGAGCCAGAGGGGAATCTTCCTCCCCGCACCCCTCCCGAAAGGCGAAGGGGAAAGAGAGAAGCGGGGGCTTCTTTCCTCCCAGAAGAGAGGAGGAAAAATAAAAGGGGGGGTCGAGGAAGAAGAAAGAGGAGGCCTCGCCCGTCGTCGTCGTCCCTTTGGGCTTCGTCTCCCCCACCCCACCCCACTCCAGGCGACCTTCGGTGACACCATCTCAAGCTCCCGCCCCCCTCTGCGTGCCTGTCACACCAGGAGGATTTGATGCCCTTCAGCCTGCTCACCTCTGTGGTGTTCATGTTTCCCACAGGTTTCTCTTCCCCCAACCCCCCAGCAGCAGCAGCGGCAGCTCAGGAGGTCAGACCTGCCACGGATGGTAGCAGCAGCTCTTCCTCCTCCTCTTCCTCCTCCTCTTCCACCACCAAGAAGAGAAAGTTGAACAGCAGCAGCAACAGCGGTGAGAGAGAAGACATCGTCGACTCCATCTCCTCCTCCTGTTCGTCCCTCCTGTCTCGAAACAGCGGTCCTTCCTTGCCCGGTCTCCTTATCACCGCCTCCACGGCCTCCTGTTCTTCCTCCTCCTCCTCTTCCTCAGGGCTTGCTTCTTCCAACCACCACCTGCAGAAGAAGCTGCGTTTCGAGGACTCCTTGGATTTTATTGGACTGGATGTGAAGATGGCCGAAGAGTCGTCCTCTTCCTCGTCCGCCTCGTCGCCGGCTGCGTCTTCGCAGCACCAGCAGCACCAGCAGCTCAAAAACAAAAGCCTCTTAATCTCCTCAGTAGCAGTGGGACACCACGCCAACGGCCTGACCAAAGCTGCCTCCTCCACTGTCTCCAGTTTTGCAAACAGCAAACCTGGGTCAGCCAAGAAGT